CAAGAATAGAGACTCGTAAGCTTACTAATTTTGATGGAATATAAGTGAAATATTCAAAAGTACATTTGTCTCACATCAGCTGGTAATTTATTACATTCCTTAAGCACGAAATTACATACAATCTTCGCGTTCTAAAAACGCAAAGATTGCTTAAGAGACACATTTCATTCGAAGAGAAGGGACGCAACAGTAAAATCGCAGTCATCCATGTTAGAGCACTGGAAGATCTCGAAGCTTTGCCATTAACTTACAATTCAAATCCATTTGAATCAGTTCCACAGATCCATCCACTCCCATTTGAAGAAACCCGGAGCAGTTTGTGACGAGGATGGTTGCTGTGCTCCTAGGTAACCGATAAGCTTTTCAACGTCCACCACAAATTGCACCACTGAGAAAAAGTGGAAAATGGTTTCGAAAGTGTTTCCTTTTTTCTACTACTCCATTGCGAGAGCAGAAAATCTTTTGAAGCTTTGACTCGTTATAACGAAATTCGTGGGAAAGACAGATAAGCTGCCTGCAACTGTATTTGAAAAGAGAAATAAGGAGCACGAAGCGAAAGTCCGACTATTGCGGTGCCGTTTAAGATGAGTAGGGCGTACAACATTTTTGTTCTCTTTTAGAGTGCACTGAGTCGCCCCACCATTACCTTTATTACAGTACACATGATATATGGTGCGTATATAAGGGTGCGTGTAGCGCAGTGACAATAGGCACTCTAAATCCTGTGGTTCGGTCCACCCTGTAGGTCTCCGCAGCTCATTGTAGAGGCTAAACATCCATTCAACTCTCTCTACGATGCTTAATGAAATCAAATGTATGGACCTAACTCTAAGGAGTAGGTTCTGACGTTGAGCACTGTTTCTTATACATTATCTAAGAAGATAATTTTTTTACGGATTTCTGATTATAATTAGAAGAAACGTATTGCTGATGGTGCCCTTACTGTATCGCTGCTCGTGAATTTAAATGTAACATAACCATCTCTTGTTTTCACTTCCAGAATCGAATTTTAAATGGCAAAAGATTTGCCATTTAAAAGGCATCACATGAGGCCATCATCAACTTGTTCCCGTTTGCAAGAAAAGGATTAACTCTATCGTCTTTTTTTTGCAATCACCCTTCTAAAACGTTGAAAAAACAGCTCGTCCGACGTCGATCTACTAGAAATTGTGGAATCCATTGGAGACAATTACGGACCACAAGTGGCTGACTGTACGTTTACCTGAAGCAATGACTTACGAGAACCAATCAGTGTATCAAGTCAGTGTCCTTATCTCCCAAAAAATTTAGCATGTTGCCGAAATCGACGGGATCACACTGTTATCTTGCGTTATCTCGCTATCACACTAACAACAACTATAAGCATCGAAGAACACGTTTAACCATTATGCTACATGAGCCTCAATATCCCATTGTTCTTTAGTATTTCCATAATACTGAAGGGCATCGTGCCAGCATCTTATTTAGAGATTTTATCATAAAGCATCTAACATTACTGCGCATCCACTAAGAATTTTATTTAAAAAAAAATAAAGTATTTTCGGGAGAGAAATGTTTATCTCAAGAATAAGCAGAAAAATGAGATCGCTCCTAATGTTCCTATTGCCGGTTAACATACGATAATTCGATACAATCCTCCGCATTTATAATTCCTAAACACTGCTTGGAACTGTTTTCAACTCTTCTGCTTACTTTTTTAATGTAACCCGACATCACGTGTAGTGAAGATCGCAGAATTTCTTTCAATTGATTGGTTTACTCAGTTCAGTAGTTCACGAACGCCTTCGGGTTTGCGTGTGCGTTCAGCTATCGCTTAAGGATTTTCGCCTTTTTTATGAATGCCCTTTAATAGCCGTTGTTATTCGCCTTGAAATCTTGGCAGAGTCGCGCTAGGACTCCTCCAGATCTTCACCAAAGGAATTCAACAGCTTCTGCGGATCCGCGAGAGATATTAGCATACCAGCCTGATGCCAATTTTCCACTCCTGTAGAGATGGGAGGTGTGGTTTATTCGGTTTGTTAAACCAGCGCGCTTCTTTGGTACTGGATGACATCACTACTGCTGAGTACTGGAGACTCCAGTACATCCATCCATGAAGAAAGTCCTAAACGTGACGGAATATTCGAAATCAAACGTCTCATTCCAAATGGTTTGTGATTTTATGATTGTTGGCATAATCTGATTTGCCATTACTCGAGCGTAAATGCCTAAAATTAGGTTTCTTAATGATTTTTTGTATGTGAATCATGTGGATCAGAGTGTGCACATTGTGCGTGTTCATACTCTGATGGTAAAAAAAATTTATTTTTTCTCAGAAAATTTAGCATTCTTGGTTTTTTTTTTGTTTTGTATGTCTCGTCTTCACGTCGGCCATGCGGATCCCAGCACTTCTCACATTCGAATCGTTTCCTCACATCCATTGTCAGCGAAGAGCTTACAACTTTTACGTTTGGCTTCGGTTGGTGCTTTGGGAATTTCATTTCATCTTGAACGTGGTAGAATGCTGTTCGAGCAATTCTCATTGGAGTCCTGAGATAGCCGAGCTGGAGCGTTCCCATGCAACAACTTGATGGAATTAAAAGCGTCAATAATGAATAGTTATTAATAGTCGATTGCTGAAAATCTTATTAATAAAAGTCTGCGTATGTCCTTGCGATCGTCCAACACGAACCATCCTTGAACTAACCACCGTCAATTAATGCTGACGTTTGACCTTGTAGAGCGTTTCTCGTTCAGAGTAACACTATTTATGGTTATTAATCCAACGCCGTTCAACCTATTCAACTTACCTCTTAACATCCATGAGATCATCTACCATTTTTTGGGCTCATCCTCATATATCAATTTGGTTACGAATAGTATTCGGAAGAATCTGTCACGTATTCTGTCACGTTATGCGATTCGTCATAAAACCACGCAATTTCGCTTGCTGCCAGTGTGCCCATCCTTCAACTACAAACACTTATTTCTATAGTACTCATGTTTGACTGCGATAGGTGCGAGAGATTGCTATGACACACATACACAGAAACAACCACCATGTGGCATTATCGCGTCTGCGTTTTCTCCGCTCTACTCAACTTTTTGTTTTTCCATTAAGTACATTAGCTTTTTCTGGATCCACCCATACATAATCCATTTGTGGTACTGTCGAGCGCTGCAGCGAAATTCACCGCTTTCGAAATCGCGATTTGTTTGGGAGCCGAGCTACGAAAGTAGTGCTTTTTTCTATTTTAATCATACATGCGTTAATGCGTTTATTCTGAGCTGTTTTTCATAATAGAATTCGATTATCGATCGAGTGCAAGTTATTTTCATAATCAGCGATCTTCATATGCACTGCACTTCGGTTTAAATATTCAATAGTTTCAATCTTCTATGGAAGAAAAAGTGTGTTTAAAAGGCGACATAATATGCAAATGGATCATGGGCTGAGATTATACATTACCGATGATGTCGTCTGACTATTCGATGAAGCCTTGTCGGCCTAACATTCCGATTTGAATAGTCGAAATAACAGTTAGTAGTACTACTAGCAGTAGTAGCAGTAGTAGCGCATGTTTCCGGTGTTCTTCATAAACTATGCAATCCTTATGACTTTTCTTTTTCATCGTTTTTGCAGTCGCCATCTTGTCGTTCATCAACTACGATGGATGTTTGTGCGGAAAAACAATTCTGACTCTCACATCAAATGTCGTTATCATTAGTCATATCAAAAGAAAAACATGACTTCTCTTCTGTCGTTTCATTCATCCCCGATTATACAGTCTTTATCAAGCATGGATGTTCTCCTTGTGCATGAGCACCGTCAAATTTACATATTCCGACAGTGTGTTTGGTCTTCCATACGCGGCGATCATCTCGTACCGCCGCTCGCGCAACTGGTTTTCTATCGTGATTCCCATCTCGTGCCAACAATCAATACTCGCCTCTGCTTCCTAATATGCCTGGATTTTTAGCTATGCCAACGTTAGATCAGATACTGAAACAGTCATCCTTTATGTACTCTCATAACATAGTCGTTTTTCTATCTACTCTGTATGAGGCAGGAAAACGTCTCCAAAGTAGAGCCAATTATCTTCCTCGATCGGTGTGTAAAACATGCTTGCTGTATTTGTTAATACTACCAATGTCACAAGGTGCGTGTAAAATTCTGAACAGTCATTCCATCGACGTCGCGTTAACGAAGGACGGTTGGTAACGTTTGGACACATATATCCTACTATAATTGGGACACACACCGCACCATGATACTGTCACCTTGTTCCTTGCGACTTTGTGATAAGTCAAGCGTAGTGATCGATTGCAGCATAGTTATTTGTATAATGTGTAGCTGTAATCGTTATTGATTATTTCCTTGTATCTGGGTATGATTTGAAATGCGATTATATGATGTGATGGCGCTACGGTGATGGCAATACGGAGCGTCCGCATTTCTGCCAAGCGCCTATACTCATGGATCTTTGAGCATTTCACTGAGATAGTCCAGCAGTAGTCCCTATAGTCTCTATCTTCAAAAAGTTATTGTTTGCGATATTCCACTTATACCCTATTTCATTTCTATTTCATATCTGATTTCTTGGCAAATCAGTGTTGCTGTGTGAACAAAAAAGATCTCGTAGAAAAGAATTCCTTTTGCAGACTCAGTTATTTGACACGTGTTCCGACTGTTTCCATATGATGCGATTTTCTGCTAGTTTCTAGTTTTCGTCATTTTTTCGCTCGCAGATGCGCTCATTGCCGACCGATTCTAACAGATTCAGCTTGCTCTCTCATTTTCAGCATTCTTTGGTCGAAAATGATAGGCGCAATTGTTCCATACGTCAATAAAATACGCAGGTATGATTTCAATACTCTAGAGGACAAGCAAAAACTGACCGACATTGAGCACCAAGATCTCCTTAATCTTTTTTCATTTCACAACTTAATCTTTTTATTTTTTCACGCTACTTTATTTTCCTTTGTCACAATTTAGATAAGTATATAACAGTGAAATTTTTATGTCTTACCAGTCGAATGATCTTATCGACCGCCTCAATTACCAGTATACGGCAATGTTAGTGGCGTTGGGAGCTATCACACTTGCAGCAACACAGTACGTTGGCAAGCCGATACAAGTCAGTTCACATCATATTCAGTAGTTTTAGGAAGGTTAAGTTTGGGAGCGAAATGAAATCATTTATTGCGCATTACCCTAAATCGTCTTCAGGTAAACCATTGTTACTAATAACTATACAAAAAGGGTTTTTTCTTTGATAGGCTAACACAAACTTGATAAAGAAAAGCATCACTCGGCTAACGTTTCGACGTCTTCGGCTTCTTCAGAGTCGTTGATCCGAGTCGGTGGCCCACTGTCTTCTTATTGTGGCCTCCTCGTCGTGGGAAGTCGGAACTTCATCAGTGAAGCACCGTTTGAATGAAACATCCCACTCGGCAGGGCACTGTCAAGAAAAATTTCACTCTATAAAAAGCACTGCTGAGTGAGTTCCTTCATTTGAGCGGCGCTGCTTTGCATTCGACTCGATGAGATCCCGAAGACCCACATCGGAAGAAGAAACAGCTGTGGACTATTGACTCGGATCAATTTGATTCTGAAGGAGGTGAAAGTGCGAAATGACGTCTTTTTTATCAACCTCGTGTTACTTTATCAATGAAAGAATACGTTTTTACTAGTCACTAAACAGGAGTCAGTTTCTGAAACATATAGAAAGTTTTCCTTTTTCTTTTAAGGAACGAATAAATGGGAAACTCGTAAGCATCTTTACGCTATTAATGGAAACTCCTATTTCGCCGTTGCCTTAGAACCATTCTTTATTAGCCCTTAACTTAACGCCGATTAATACTTGGTTATTTGTTATAAAAAGGAGAAGCTCTGTTTTCTATATTTTGTTTTATACTTCTCTATAGTTGTTTGTGCTTGCGCTTGCTTATGTTTGTTCTATATGTTTATGTTTATGATAGTACAGTGGTAGTGATGTCTATCATCACGAGCATGGTGCTAGTTGATTCCGGTCCGGCCCAACCAAGCCTCTCATCCATCCAGGGTCGGAAAATTGGTACGGGACTTGTCTGGAAAAAAATCACTCTTTGCAGTCCAGTTGGGAACACTCCAGCCCGGCTACTTCAATACTCCAGGAAGATTTGCTGCACCAGCATTCTACCGCATTCAAGATGAAATGAAAATCCTCAAGCACCAACCGAAACCAAACGTAAGAGTTGGAAGATCTTCGGGGACAATGGATGCGAGGAAACGAATCGGATATGAGAAGTGCTGGGATTCACACTGATGACATGAAGACGGGTCATATAAAACAAAATTTAAAAATTCGTTGTTTATTATTTTTACGAGTATAATTTATATTCTATTTACTAACCATTAGTTCTGTATTTCCATTTGTTCTACATTATGTTGTAAAGATAAATAAAAACTGGAACAAATCGACTGGAACACTACAACTGTTTTGTAAAGAATGTTGTGAAATATTATTGAATACGCCACGGTTTTTCATACACGTCGATTTAAACTGATTTCTAGTGCAAACATTTTTGCCTCGTCAATAAACCCAGTAAGTTGCATGCTTCATACTTAATGTCATAGTTCGCTACCATAAGTCGTTTGTCTCATAAGGATAACTCCACATATAGCAGCCCTTATCATAAGTTTCGTAGTTAGTTAAGATCTTTTGTCAAGTCTTGGTGAAATTACATCTTTCAAGCTGTTTTTTTTCTCGAAGAATGAAAAAATTTTTTGCTCTACCACACTACTACGTCAACTGGAATTATGTAATGAAATAACTGTGTGCGAATTATACTTGTTCTCATATGGTGGAACCACTTTCCTTACAATGAAGGTCATTTTATAGGATGATCCTCTTAGGATAGAAAAGATGCTATATATAATAAATTAATGTTTCGTTTTCGTTCTTAATACAATGACTTGTTCAGTGTTGGGTCCCTGCGCAATTCACCGGTGCTTGGGAGAAGTGAGTTTGCCTTTCATCAGTTTTTTTACGTACATCGAAAGCACAAAGGTTTGAAATTCTCGTCTACAAAATGTTTTGGACTATTTCAGATATGCAGAAACCTACTGCTTTATTAAGGGATCCTATTTCTTACCAGATGACGAGCATCCCAATGAGGACTTTATTGAAAGAGACAACGCTGTAAGTAGTATGTTAATACTTAATCCCATACCTACCTACTGAATAAATGCACCCCGCCGATGCATTTTATGGTCCCGTGTTGGCTAAAGGTGCTGAAGTGTGTCGGTCTCCAATGTAGAGTAGAAAATCCATCCACCCTGAATGTCACTCAAGTTGAGGAGTTCGATATTCCCATTCGAAACCATAGCAGAGAACACACTTTTGAGACCATGAAGTCCGACGAGCTGTCACTTGCTAATTTCTAGCCAATAGAGCCAGTATAAAGATGATATCATACCAAAACCTGCAGGATCTCTGTGTTTTTCGAGCTAATGTAAGCTCGTTGAACCGTTCTTATACACCACATAGGAACGAAGGTCTTATTGGTGTCAGCTCAAGTCATTAAATGGTTAATGAGTTGCAGGTCATGAATGTGTTATAAACACCTATCTTTATTTTTATTTAGTAAGAGTTTAATAAATTTTCTTACGTCTTCGTTTACCCACTTCATGAGTGAAATTCGATCTAACCTAAATCACAGGAAAGAACTTTAAGGTCATCGGTTACTATCAATGGGTGCCGTTGGTGTTAGCACTACAAGCGTTTTTATTTTATGCACCATGTATCGTATGGAAAGCTTTAAACTGCTCTACAGGTCAGTTCTTTTGACGGAAACTACCTACCTTTACTGCTATTTTTCTACTAGGTTGCTGTGGAAAATAATTTTGCCTTAATCTTTTGGGATTTGATGTTTCACCTTCAAGCAATATGTGTGTTTATTCCAATTACCTTTATGAGCCGAAAATCTCCGCCTTTTTAATTTTTTGTGTTTTTGTGTTTCGGCAGATATTAAAAGCAAACTCAGGAATTCTTTTGTGCAAATTGAATAAAAAATGGAGCAGTGGTCGGAAGTTCCCTGCAAAACACACTTGGAATCGATCTCCGTGCCTATGGCCCACAAAGTCTTCCATCCCTCTGCGGTCGGCAAATTGGTAGCAGACTTGTATGGGAGGATAGTAACACTGACTCGATACATTGGTAGGCCGTCGCCAGTCATTATAAAAGCAAATGCATTTAACCACCTCTAGCGATGCTTAATGAAGTCGAATGCATGGCGCATCCCTCAGGGAGTGATCAGTGCTGAGAGTTTACCCCTTTTTTATGCGACGAAATGTGGTATCGAGAAATCAGCTTCGTTGCAAGCCGACAACTTTAACAGCCAAGTAGGGAATCGTCAACGATCGTAAGCTAATATGTAATTTATGAAAGCTTGTTGATGCAGGTGAAGACCTTAAAGAAGGTAAAGGTTGAAAATGACAGCTTTTATCGGCGATGGCGTTAACCACTTGAACAAATTGTGTGAGGCAGAACAATGCAGAACGACTAGCTTCGGGGATAGAATCTAACCTGAAAAATAGTTTCGTAATTAAATCGAACTAATAAACTGCAAAGAAAAACGCGAATAAATGGATACAGTACGAATTGAACGAAGAGGAAGCAGGTCGCCGCTATTAAATGCACATCTTGTTTTGCACAACTGAAGCCGGCCGTTTTTAGCGCACTGGGCCTTTATCTAACATTAAGCTCTGCGAGTGATTTTCCATGCTTGTCAGCTGTTTCATTCGTTAGAACTTTATGAATTCTTTCTACTTCTTTTCAGAAAACATGAGGTGCTATTTTATTTCTTTATTTACGCACAAGCTGACTTTTCGGCGGATTTCGCCTTTCTCAGAGCCGCTTTTTATGAATTCTGTAGAAATTTTTACGGTATAGGACTGTGAGAAAGTTGGCAAAGCATGCCAAGAATTGCAGTATCTTAATTTTACAATTGTTCCAATTTGCAATCACGTGCATGGTACTAGTTCGATTCCGCTTCGGTCCAACCAAGCCTCTCGTCCCTCCGAAGTCGGAAATTGGTGTCGGACTTGTTTGTGAAGAAAATCACTCTCTGCAATCCATTTGGGAACGCTCTAGCTCGGCTATCTCAAGCCTCCAGGAAGAATTGCTCGATCAGCATTCTACGACATTCAAAATGAAATTAAAATCGCCAAGCAGCAACCGAAGCCGCACGTAAAAGTTGGAAGGTCTTCGTGGACAATGAATGCGAGGAAACGAGTCGAAAATGAAAAGGGCTTGGATCCGCAGTAGAGGTGAAGACAGTTATAAAATAAAAAACAACGAAGAAAATTTTAAAATTCAGGCAGTTAATGTTGTAAATGTTGAGGCAAATGAGATGTGAAACTACTTCGTTGAGTGCATTAAACCTTTCGCCAACTAACTGTCACTTTTGTCGAGCACCTTGGCAGCTTTTGCTTGGGGAAGAAGGCTCTTGAAGCATAGAATTCTATTGCTGTGAATTAGCTTTTTGTCAGTTATTTTTCGTTAAGGTATTAATGTCAAAGACGTTCTCGAGAATACAGCAAAGGTGAAGAAGAATGTGACTGTCAAGGAAAGGGAAAATCAGGTGGGATGATCAATTTTCCGCTTAAGTTCACTAAAAAATGCTCTTGATTTAGGTAATCAAAGCAGCTGCTCACCTTCAAGATGCCCTAGAACTACAACGCGAGCTAAAAACAGGTTTATCTAATTAACATCACTTAAAAGAGCTAATAGTATTGTTAACTGTAATTCAAGTGCACACCGTTCCAGAAGCTGTTTTCCTTTCCAAGCTACGCAAGTCAGGCTATTTTCTATCGGCGGTTTATGTATTCACAAAATTTCTCTACGTCTTCAACATTTTTGTGCAGGTTGCCGTTCTCAAATTGCACACTGTCCTATTTTTATAACATTCTTAATATCCTATCCCTATATTTTTATTCTGCTGCACTACTATTTGTAAAGTATGTTTTATGTAAAAGACTTCTACATGGAAGGCACGCCTTTCCCAATGTACATACATTCATACACCAACACACACACACAACATGTACATGCACATGCACATGCATACACACACACGTACACACACACGCATACACACACAGACACAAACATACACATACCTACACACACATGTACACACACATGCATGCATGCAATGAGCACATGCAGACGCATACTTGACAAGTGTTTTTGTAAGCCAATTATGACCATCCTTTTGTCAAAAATAAAAACAAGAGATGTCATGTTAAGATTGGGGTGATGACATTGTCTTTCGAGGAAGCGAATACCACTCAAACGTGGCACACTACCCGACATGAACGATTAGACCTATTACTCGCATCCACACGAATAACCCGATAATCGCAATATCATAGTGACGCGATTATACTCCTGTCCCAGTTTTCAACAGTTTTTCTTACTGCTTTTTAATTTTATTTCCTGGATTGCTTGTCGTGGTCGTAGTCCACGCAAGACCAGTTTGTTCCTATACCAATTAAACCTTGCTAATTACTGCATTTAAAAGTTTCAGTTCGCCATATTCTCGGCGTTTCTTGGAACTAACAATTCGTTTTGGGGATGGGAAATATTCACCAACATCTGGAGTGGTCGTGAGTGGAATGTTACAGGTCACTTCCCGAGGGTGACAATGTGTGATTTCACAGTACGGTTTCATCTCTATTAAACTTGTTAGCAGATTTGTTGCTCGACTGAAAGAGCGTTTAGGTTCGAGTCCTTGGCGCTCTTCATCGCTGGACAGTTCAGTGTGTACTGATGATCAATATGTTCACCGAGAAAATCTACGTTTTCCTATGGTGAGTGTCAAGGAGATATTTGAGCAATCCAATTTATTAATCAAAGAAAAAGCTCACCTTATTTTAAAGGTTCTGGTTTGTTCTGATCGGTGTGCTTTCGGTAATCTCGCTGCTATATTGGCTTGTAGCCTTGGTTGGTAGTAATTTCCAACGAGGTTTTGTTACAAAGTAAGTTATTAGAGTGGTTGTTTATTAGCCGTTTCAGTTTTATTAAATGCTTCCACAGAAACAAGGCATCTCTCAACTTTTAATATTTTATGTCTCTTACTTTTTGCATTAAGTAAGTTGTCTTGAGAGAAACGTTTTTTGTAAAACTGTCATGTTAGGTACCTGAGGTGCATGAGAGAGATCGGAGTGTCACCATCAAAAACAGAGGAGGAAAAAGTAGGAGGATTTGTTCGCAACTACCTAACATCTGATGGAGTATTCATTCTTCGGCTTATTCAGGTAACCATTTTTGTTGGTTTCATTCCTGTTGTTTCCTTTATGCTTCACATGTAGACAAATGGCGGTGATATGCTTGCGGGTGAGATCATCGTTGCGATGTTCCGTCAGTACAAGGAACGTCGAAAGACTCCCTTATCCGAAGACTCTTTCGGTGATTCACCTGACACAATGGCAACTCTTGAGCCGTGATCGGCGTATGGCAACTGACTTAGTCAGGATTCGTCAAGACGTGGAACCATTGGCCTCATTCAACGACTATACAATCCTTTGTATTGTGTATTCTTCAATCAGACGAATCATATTTTATGTCACTAGATTGGTTTCTGTGGTGTTAAATTCTCGCTTGAAACAGTGTTCTCATGTACTTTATACCGTGAAACTTTTGCACTTGCCGAGCGATTGGCATAATTACGGATCTTTTTATGTCTATGCTTTATATTTATTCGGAGAAAAAATTCCTTCTCCTTCACAGCGAGGTGGAGCTAGTCAGAACGAAAGAGCAACATAGAGTAATGTTGTAAAATTCTTGGATTTTTTACAGCGTGCAAATCCTAAGTGCTTTTAGAATTAAAAAAACATAATACAGAACCCCTGTGGCGCAAGGATTTCAATTATTGGAAAGATTACGAATTCAAATTCTGTTGAGCTGACAAACAAAGTATGTAAGTGGAAATCAACGAAATTGAGTAAAGCGGCGTCGCTAGCACAGTTTTTGCGATAGCGCTCAATATGGACAAGGACATCGATTACCCAAGCAAAGGCTTATCATAGCTCGTGATTGATACCTGGGGTTGTCCCGGCACAGTTGCCTTCGATTTCCCGCGAAAAGAGCTAACAGCATCTGTCGAAATACACAAAGAATACGAAAATCCTCAACCAGTTGCCGAACCAACAAATCCAAAAAAGCATAGTGTGCGATGCATGCGAGTAAATGAGTTGGATGAAAGAAGCACTGACATCCACACAATACTCGTCGATGAGTGGTTAGAAAGACTGCATAGATAATGGTTGGAGAAGGTGAGTTTGATTTAACTAAAACCATTAAGGAAAGCCTATTGTAATACACTGATGATATTGACTTACTCATAACTGGTTCAAAATAAGTAACTTGTTGAGGTTAAATTTAAAAAAATAAAACGAAATTCAAGACTGGTCCTCTGCAGAACAAATAAAGCTGCTCCGAAATTAGCTACTTTTCCCTTTTAGAAGTTCGGTTATTGCCTCTCTTTGAGGAACTAGGAGACTGAACAAGAACTGCACTATACTCACTTGGTTACTTGGAAGCCCCACCCTCAGTGGTGGTGCGAACCACAGCATAGTTTCCACTCGTTTCCCTCTGGTACAATCGTTGTCCATGATGGTAGTCTGCTACGAACATGATGACGTCTTCATCGGCCATTCCGGTTTGTTAAAACTGTTTCTATCTGCGAACGAAGGTGATTGCCGATAACTACGCACACTTTTGCCGGTCGCTTGGGTGATCCAAGAGGACGCCTGCATTGTCTCGTAGTGAAGTCCCTGCTCCTTTCGTCCATCTCTCATGTGTTCTTCTTATGTCACTGACCCATGTTTCGCTATCAGTGTATGTTTTCCTGGGTCCCAAGGAAAGGACAGGTTTCGAAGATCTTAGCTACATATTCCGGATAGGTATTGTGAATGTCGATTAAATTCGGATGACATTTTTCAAGCACTCTGTGGGCAGCGCGAGGGGTCCTTGATGGGCTTGAATTGAACCTGGAGTTTGTGGTGTGTTATTTGGTCGCTAGCTTCTTCGGAAGGACCGGGTATTGTTTTTATTGTGAAAAAAAATCAAAACGACATGAAAATCATCCAGTGACATGAATTCATGGGTTCAAAGGCGGAAGCCCGATAATAATGCTCTAAGACTTATTTGGTGCGCCTTTGTTTCAAGGTCAATACAAAGCGTGAAGAACATAATGTGTAAAGCCATACTTATTCATCCCACTTAGATTAAGATTTATTTCTTTTTTTACTTTAACAAGAAACTAGCAAAAATAATTCGAATAAACAGACTGCTAGCCAGGGTTACCCTTCCTACATCGGTTTTTCCTTGGTTTTTCGACAGTCTTTTGCGTTTACACCAGTACGTGCACAAACAAAGTGGAACAGCTGTGTTACTACCATATCTATCAGCTGCAAAGAAACGAAGTTTGCAGTGTCCACTTCTAAGGCAGCTCAGAATTGTTGCCAGGCATTATTTAGCGGAGGAAAGCTTTATTTGAATTCTACATCTGACGAAACTAGTGCTTTGCTTCGAAAGTAACCCCAGTCTTCACCTTTTTATTTACTGCTTATTCTTTTTAACGGCAGGGTATGTTGCGAAATATAACTACTATAATGCTGAGATATTTGCAAAGCTCCGGACAGCAGGTGTCTGCGGTGGAGAACAAACGTGCTATTGTCCTTTCCGGGGAGTAACGCGTTCACCACCACACCATGCGGGTCCTTCGTTCCACCTCTCTCTCAGCTAGTTCTATCGATCACGGCCATCAGCAATCACCCGTCAACGGGATTGATCTAGGGAGCCCAAATGGGCATTGAACCCAGTAAAGAATACTCAGTAAATAAAAAGGTTAAGATTGTGATTATAACCATAGCCTCAGCTTAAATGGGTTCAATGCCGATTTGAGCTCCCTAGATCAATCCCGTTGACGGGCGATTGCTGATGGCAAAGGATCGATACAACTAGGTGAGAGACAGGCGAGACGAAGGACTCGCATGGTGTGGTGGTGAACGTGTTACTCCTCGGAAAGGACAAAAACGCGTTCAGTTTCCCACCGCAGACAGGTGCAGCCCGGAGTTTTGCAAATATCTCAGCATTATAGTAGTAACTCCAGTTTTGCTTGCTGCACTTTGGATTGCATTTTGCAAAAGCTTCAGGCTTAACATCACTGAATATTTTTTAACTTAGACGAGATCGTTACGAAAATTTTTTCTGCTAACGTTTCAGAGTCTTCGCTTTCCTTAGAACGGCGATCATCCAAGTCTGTCCACAGTCGTCTGTCATCATGTTGTGGATCTTCGTAGTTACATCAATTAAAGATACACGAGTTTTAATGGCAATGAAGGGTACTTGTCAGCCGTTGGCAACACCCTTTGAAACTCATAATGGAGGCTGGCCCGATGTAAACACCTTGACAGGTTTCAAAAGTCAGTTTGACCACTGCGCAGTCATTGGTCGTTTGGAAGAAATCCTACGAACCTTATTTTTGCAACCAAAACATGAAAAATCTCTCGACCTTTTTTGAACTGATAGCTTTCGAAGCAGTGAACTGCTTACACTGAGTGACTTGCTGCTAAAACTAATACACAACAACTTTTTGAATCCTAGATAGAGGATTAAAGCAGGAAAAGCAATGTCTCTAAATCTTTGAAATACATCAAAACATGAAATATATTCTGAGAGCCGGTAAAAAAATGTAACTTCCTCACAGAAGGATGCTCGGCCATACACCACACTACTAAATCTGCACTAGATGAATGAATTAAACCACGAAACTGTGCCTTATTCGACGCACATGTCATACCTCTCACGAAACGATTACTACTTTTTTAATCATCTCAAGCATTGCTCGGTTCAACAACAAACCACTGCTGAAAACATTATCATAGGTTGTGTGAAGAACTAGCCTTCTACCTTTGTCTCACAGACTTCAGACGACCATCTAATGGACACATAAGTGGCTCTATCACTTCTCTCGATCATTCCTCGCTTTGATCATCCCTCGCTTTCAAATTTTGCAGCGAGAAAGTATCAGGGTCATTATTTACGTACCTCTAACCTGTTTTAATGGTGTTGAAACGAATCCGATACTTTATATGATGATTTGAAAAAGATGACCTCTCATGTACCTCAGGTACCTAACGTGACAGTTGTACAAAAAGGTTTCTCTCACGACAACTAACATAATGCAAAAAGTAAGAAACATAATAAAAGTTGAGACACGCCTTGTTTCTATGAAAGCGTTTAATGAAACTGAAACGGCTAATAAACAGTTAGAAGTGAATGAATGCATATCTTGCCCATGTAATGACTCGTGATTTCCTACCGTTGTATAGAGTCAGTGCTGCTAACCTCCAAAACATGTCTGGTGCCGATTTGCCTAGCCCGGAGGGATGGAAAGCTGGGAGAGCTTCGGGTGCGGGATCCACCCCATGTGTATTGCAAAGCGCCTCCTACCACTGCACTGCACGCACCCATTTAATTTGCAGTAACTCAAGATGTTTATACTCGTTCTATAGTGAGCCGGAAAAGTGTATAAAGCTCTAAAGCGCATTGGATATTTATAGAGAATATCATTTGTACTTATCGAAGTTATTAAAAAAATCGCTCACGGCGCCCACGGTTTGGAAAGCATATGTGATTAAGAACATACTAAGATGTCTTCATTAAAAGTGCCAGTGTTGTTTCTATATAGTTTTTTGCATTTTTTTTTACACATAACTACAACGATTGACCTTTATTTTTGATATACTAGAAACACTTCTCCGTCAGATGTCAGTAGTGGGTTACAAGGGGATTGTGCTGAAGATGCCTTTTTTCAGCCAAATGTATGACTGATCTAATTCAGGCGAAAGAAGCAAAAGAGGGTATTTTCTAGAATTTTCAACAATCGACTAACTTCAGCCATCACTTGCTACCATCCGGTTACCAAACCATTGTATAGTGCTTGTTCTATCTACATTTGATTTATCGGTTCTTGGTATCTGAGTTAGTGAATGATCCATTCAGTTCTTTTTCTATCACTTGACAAGAATGAATCGTGCTTTACAAACTGAGTAGTATTGCATTGTTACAATGCGAAGAGGAATAACATGCACAGTCGATAAGATTTTATTAGCCATCTTTTTCTTTTTATAATTACACGATACAAAACAGGCACTGTCTGATCATGTAAATGTTTACATTTTGCAATGATGATATGATTTGTTGTCGTTGATGATTTAGCAAAGCAGCTTCCCTATAGACTTTCCTGCTTGAGCGATTCTTAATCAACTAGAAGAATCATAACATCGGGCGTGTTTAGAAAAAGCACAGGAGTTAAAATCATCCCAAAACCGCTCGCATACCTGTCCAAAGACACAGATAGGTTCAGCAGTTGGAAGCACACTCTTTACTATGGTTTACCGACATTTATCTTCTGTACGTACGTGAATATACTGTGTGCGAAGTTGTTTTTTCATAAATGGTAACATCACGCAATAATAGAAGCGTTTGTGAAGTTGAATTCTTCGTGGATAAGAGTTAGCTATGAATTCCGATCCTTTAAAGAAGTAAAGACGGTATTTTGAGGTTAACAACTGAGAAATCGTGGGAGGATACCGACATCGGCGACTTCTGTCCCACACACCACATTACCAGATTATCGCAATGCGGTGGCGATCAGACTTAGTATTCTTTATTAGCTCGGAAACAACTCCTCAAGCTAGTTAATGATTTCTGCTAAATTATTAGTGGCAATGCCGACGCCAAAACTGTTGTTTGGAGAGCGTTTGAAATATAAAAAAGGAGAGTGGTTGCCCAAGTTTATCACGACAAGACAGAAGTGGCTTTCTTTATTCATCTAGAGGTGTAATATTACTACTAAGTGTTACATTTCTTATTGTAGTTCATCTACGAAAGCCAATAATGTCCGAATTTTAAAGAAATTTGCAGCCTGTGTTGGATTAATCCACAAATGTGTACGTCTAGTTACACAAGCTTGAAATTTGTAAACTACGGCAGTAATGAAGGTCTCACATACTAAGTCGCAGTCTTTTCTGTGGTAAAGGAAGATCTTGATAAAAAGAGCATATAGTCTGAACCAGTCTAGAACTATGAGAGAAAACCGAGACTGACTAGTAAAGACCTTCAAATGATGGCGAAATGGCTACTTTCATATTACTAATTTTCACAGGTAGGCTCAGAGGTTGCGTGGTTAAGGTGAAAATGATGGCTACTAGAACTGTTAGTTGCTACGAACAGTATTCTTAAACAGCATAAACTTAAGCAGCATCTCAAATCCCTCGGTCGATTAAAGTCGTTCATAGCTTTGCTTCGTTTTTCCTCAAATATGACGGTATGATCTCTTTTTTGCCAATTCACGTACAATATTTGAATCATATCTTCGTTATGGTTTGATCTTGCGATGTAAATGATGAGTTTGTCAAAACTCAAATTTGTTTACATCTTTTTTTCACCCTTGAACCTCAGACTTCGATCATGATTCAAAAGAGACGCTGATTACAATAATGATCATATGAGGACGTTGATTTTTGTTCAGCATCACGAAGGCTTCATCTTACTTGCAACGCTGGATTGTTGGTCTTCAAGAGTAGTACGAGCCTCAGCACATCTTCAATTCGAGTACTCTTTTTGTAATCGTCGTACATGGTGGCAATCTGCTTCAACATGGTGACCCCCACGAAGCACCCATTCCGTGATCCGCTAATCGTTTCCATCAGCTATAGTAGGTGGTTGACATGAGCTACGAACACGTCCTCCCCTCGTGTTGGTGGCAGTTCTAGAGGTCGCCTGCACGTCTTGAAATCCACTACTCTTTTTTCGTTGTGACCTCCATCTCCTCCTCTTATGTGTAACTGGTTCAACTGCAGGCTAGTTGAAAATTATATATTTTAAAATGTTTAAAATTTATCTATATACTGAAATGTTTTCCTGTATTCTTTCTTATTGTTTTTAAATGTGTGAGAATTAAGCCTTTGTTTCTTTTCAAACTTACTACATTGTTTAAAATTTGAAGGCCCCATGTTCGACGAATGACCCAACAGTATATTGCCCAGATATCGGGTATCTTATGTCTTTCATCTATGGGGATACCATAACTGCCAAAAGGTACCTCACCAGGCCGCTAGGTGAAATCTGGTTAGCTATTAACGCCTTGGTGAATTTGGAATACTTGTTTTTAATAAGAGACTGTAGAGAATGCCTACTTCAATCGGATATGCATAGATCATTTTGGTGCGCATGAGTGGCTAGCCAGAAGTTCTAGCCTAACACACTGCTATTTTTTGCTCTCACACTGTTAATGGAGCAAGTCTATCTATCAAGTAAACAACTTTGGGAGGACTTGAGGGGCGAATACGAGGAGTTCTGTATTCAATTTTATAAGCCTTCCTGCTAAAAGAAGATAATACGATTCACAGAGGGCTTGTCGATCTGCTGGCAAATGTTAGTGTCCTTATCGTATTTCGAAAAAAAAACCCACGCTATTTTCTCTTTCATATTCAATTCTTGTAAAAATTACAGCCCAAAAATGGACTATGGAATTTAAAACAGGTAGTTTCTTCCCAATGACCCTGTATGCTCTGTTGGCAATGTAAAGGGTGCTCTACTGGATCTCGGAAATAGGATAGCATCCGAAGATCCAAGCAACGCACTCCGACTTAACGCCTTCTATGCCTACTACGTTTCAGAGGATATCATTAAGTTTTCTATAACAAAACATGTCAACATATAAAGTGGAAGATATCAAGCGCAGTGGTAGTGATGACGACCATAAAAAGTAACAGTACTGGATGTTCCCCCACCAGATAGCAAGCTTTTCTTTTCCAATCCCCTCGGGAACGCAAAATTAGCGGCAGACTTTTGTGAGATTTGCTCACCCTTTCGAATCAAAATGAGAGCTCTCTAATACGGCAGTCCCATGGCTCCAAGGTTAACCACAATTCAACGGCATTTATAAAGGAGAAGAAACTCCTCAAGCAGCTGCAAAACCGCAAAAATCAATGGCCGTCGTATGTGACAGATGCAAGTAAATGAATATAAACAAGAGGTGCTGGGATCTGCACAGAATATGTGGCGAATGATTTCTTGAAATAGAAAAAATTGGTACGCGGCTCCTCAGATAAGTGGGAACTTGGCGCATGTTGCTTTTTTTCTGACATTTGAGGTCTTCCTCACGCCTTTCCCCATGTTCATTGATCGACCTGAGTACAACGGGTGCAATTTGGTCTATGTAATTAGAGAATCGTTCGTTTCGATTTTTCCCCTTTAGCACCCGGTTTTTATAAACTGCTTTCCATTGCCATTTATTTAATATCCAATCCGTTTCCTGTCCATTCGGATTCTTCGACATCGCCTTGTTTCACCGGTGCCATTCCAAAAGAATTGCCATTTCTAAGCAAAACGAAGATTTGAAGGAATTTACCATTGATGCGTATGCTGATCTGGTTCTAACGAATTCACTATCCACTACAATGCAGTGGTACACAGCTTTAGCACTGAAATAATATAGCGTTATCAGACACCTGATGGTAAATAAGCAATGGAAAGCTGTATCTTCGCTGACTAGCAAAGACTGTACTCAACAAATATAAAGGATGATAGCACTTTTGTAATCTCTCGTTAGCTCATAAATAAAGCGAAACACTAAGTATTCATACCGATGTTCAATTAGAGTAGCTAAACAAAAGCATTCTTTGGCTATGCACTTGTTTGGACAGCCCGCAGATATATTAATACCAAATAGTTAAGAGGATTCGGTTGGATTAGCTGCTCACCCTTGTCTGTGCCACGTGGGACTTTTTGTGATCAGCAGTCACAATGACAGACACCTCAAACCTGGGTAATCAAACTATTTATGTACGACATATTTACGTGGTAACGCAATTAGACTAGAAATGTGTGTACAACAAATTGCAAGTAAGGTGGGTCAGTAGGTAGTAATCTGACTAAACAGAACACACTAACAATGTTGTAGAGCAGTATACAGCAGAATTATAAGGACATGAGAGATTATCAGATATTGTTCGCGTAGCAATCTCAGTAAACCAACAACAGCGTATGAAATTACCTTACCACAATGCAAGAATGTGGCAGTGATAGCGGGTTGTTTCAGCGATGAGGAAAATTTTGCGCAATGGAGTACTTATGAGCAGTGTAGGCATTTGATACAATTCCTGTATTAGCAACACGTAGATAGATAACAATTGATAAGGACATAAATATGATGATGCAAGAACAAGGGATTTTACATTATTCTTTATAATCTTGTTGAGCAAACGTGAAGTGTTATTTTATTCGTTATCCAGGAACAGGCTGACGTTTTGGCGCATTTCGCCTTCCTCAGAACCTAGAAAGGTCAAGTTAAGAGCAATCTCTCCAACCAAACACCTCCATAACCAAACAGAGAAAACGCTAAACCAAGCCATATTGAACACAGAATAGCTTCTTTGCACACTCACCGATTTCTATGAGTCACTGAGTATCTCGCGTGGAGACCAACCGCACAGATTTCACATGGGAAGCGTAATATGCCCCTCCCATCAGAACAATAGCTTTGTATACTGCCCAATATCACGCGTGATAATGAGGCATTCTTCCCTGCGGTTCATTTTCGGATTTCTGGTATTAATCCAGAACGTCCCGAGAGTTTTTTGCACTTGTGTTCTCGGTTCCTGTGCGAGGATCGTGGCCCGTAGTTCAAACTCTTCCTCGTTATATCTCTTGGTCCTGCGCGTGCCCAGTGAGGCATTCGGTTTAAGTTTGCCGACTAGGTGTTCTTTTATGCGAACACAGAGTGGTATACCCGCTTCGCCAACGTATTCGTCCCCGCATGCCTTACAGGAGATCAGATAAACTGTATCCGTAC